TTAGGATGTACATATTTATCCTTGGGCAGAGGAAATCTGATGAGAGGGCTTAATATGGCGAACGACTGGTTACCAGTTGAGGTCGGATATGGGATTAGTTAGTCAGTTTTTTTTTTCGGAGAGTATGGGTTTGAAGTAAGTCGTAATCGAATGAATGACTATGAGTAACTATAAAATTTACCCCAAAATTCCCTTTTTCTAGTTTCCATTACTCGATAAACATTTCCAACGTCTTTTTAAATGGGGTATATTTCGAAAATATATTAAATTTCGGTCTCGAATTTTGTGAAATATTGAAAGTAGGGTATGATTATCCAGAAAAACGGTTAACCGAGAGGTATATTGCTTTCTGATATCGGATTATTATTGTGACGGTTAACCGGATAATGAAGCATAAATATTGCATATGCTCATTAGTAATTTTGATATTTTTTCGTTAAGTGGCGTCTAACATATCCAAGAGCGTATAAGTACAAATTTTATTTAAGCTTATTTAACTACCTATATGTAATAGTCATTCGTATAATGATTCGTAAAACTATCACATCACAAAATACGCAAAACAAATATGGGTACTCCTGAAGTATGCGCACCAAGATGCCGCAAAACCTGAACCCCAATCTTGTGAACAATTATAATACAGAGAAACTCGTGCAGACGGATGATAGAGACCGCGAAAAAGGTCGAAAGTGAATGTGATCTGGAGTTGATGAATGATCTGTCTCTGACAAATAACGATGTCCATGATTTAAAAACTGGAGCATGGCTCATTGATAAACATATAAATGCGGCAATGGACCTTCTTAAGCGTCCAGACCTCAATGGACTTGACGACGTAATCATTGGACCAACTCATGGATTTCAACGAAAGGAAAATGTGGGAAATTTTGTCCAAATTCTGCATTCTGGATATAATCATTGGATCTGCATATCCAATGTCGTTTCCCAAGAAAAAGAATATATATACAATCTATGACAGCCTACAGGAAATGAGCGTTGTGAAGTCGTCGAAAGATCATCAAAATCAAGATGAAGATCAAATACGATATCCCTTAATAGTTGATCAAGCAGCGTGCAGTTTTCTCCCTTTACAAGAAAATCAGTTAGCGGCCAGAGTTGCCAATGTTACTCAGCAGGTGGGTGGGGATGATTGCGGACTTTTCGCCGTTGCATTCGCCGTAATTTTGAGTCACGGAGTAGACCCCGTTGGACGGCAAATTAATCAACAAAACATACGCCATGGTCTACTTGAATGCTTCAAGAATCGTTCGGTGGAGGCTTTATTTCAACATTGCTGTGAATCGAGAAATGGATTTGAAAACCCCACATTTTCATGGTTTTGCGACATTTTTTGCTGTTGCCGTATGCCTGACGACGGTGGAAAAATGCACAAATGCATGGCATGTGGAACGCGGTTTCACAGAAAATGTCTAAGAGAATCTCCTGACTGAAGTAACCCACGAAGAAGATTCGAAATGGACTTGCGACGACTGCGAATCCATAAGGAAACATTTCGAAGCTTTACGAAACATTTTAATGAAGTCGTCAAAAAACGAGCCAGAGGAAACGGATAAATATGTTTCGATATATAACTCTATCCGTAGTATTCTTCCAGATATTCCTTTCCCTAGGGGTGAGGGATTTGTCGCCTGTGTTCAAAAAACTAGATATGAAGAGGTATACCCCAAAAAGAAGCCAGTAGATGCCTTCACATTGTCGCCGGCTTCTATCTAAAAAAAAGACTTCCTGATCGTTTTTATTAAATCGACGGAGAAAAGGTTGGAAATAATAATACACGAAATGGTCCACGCTGCTGGAGTTTTGATGCATGAAGGTGGAAGCGAACATGGGCCTAAATTTCAAAAAAGGGCCCGCCGTATGGTCAAACAAATTAATGATCATCAGAATAACCTCCTTCCAGAGCTGAGAAATCAAAGATATACGTAAAGCAAAGAATTGATATAATATATGTTATGACAATAAGTGATTATAAAAAAATATTAATAAATGGAATTTTAAATCTCGTTGTTATGTGATGTTGTATGATAAAAACATATCATTTCCAAAGATCTTGTATTTATTTCGCATAAATATCAGACATAAACAAAGTTAAGAAAAATATATTTGCATTAAATTAAGGATAAAGGAAAGATGATATCACCTTGTAAATTAATAGCAAATATTCCTCTGAGTACACCCATAACAACGAAATTGGTTTTCTTGGTACTGTTTTTTTAGAAAGGTTTTAACGCCAAATCTAATTCCAAGAAATAAAGTCGTTTGTGAGATTAAGGATGGTACGCAATGATATTTCATTTCCATAGACCCGCCCCACGCTTGTGTTGTTGATAAATTCGCAAGCAGGTTTTTCATTTTTACGTGTCAGCGCAACATGAAATTGATGTTTACAACTGTCAATGGATTACAATAGCATTGCTCGGTCACGTTTGGTCAACTGATTGAACCATATCAGAAAATCCAATCATGTGAGGATCGAACCTGATCGTTGTTACGACGGTCATATTTCATCGGTGAAAGAAAAATGAACGTCGGAAACGTCCAAGTATGCGTTTAAGTTCATGGTGATATTTGAAGTAAGTAATAGAATATGAAAAAAATATTGACATAATTTCATTCCACACAAATATAAGTAGGATTTTTGACTATGTTTATCGGACTAGGTTTTCAAGATCTCATGTATTCTCCATATAGTCTTCAGTTGATGTTGCCATATATCCACTGTTTTTACTTGTTTAGAGCTTTGCTACGATGAAGTCGTGAAGCTCCTTATCAGGAAATGAATTCGTTCTTATACAATTCAACTTAATAATTTCATATACAACAAAAAACTTCTTATTCAAAGCCTTTTTGAATGGGATGTATGAAATACCCCATAAAAAGTAGGAGCACATTATATATCACCAGATCTTCATCGAATAACTACGACAAGAAGAAAATCTTAAATTACAGACCAGGTTGTTGCATTGCGCCCAACGCGCTGCTCCAAATGCGACCACGCATTGTGCCCAATGCGCTGCTCCTAATGCGGCCTCACTGTGCCCAATGCGCTGCTCCTGATGCGACCACGCATAGCGCCCAATGCGCTGCTCCTAAGTCCTAATGCGGCCTCACTGTGCCTAATGCGCTGCTCCTAATGCGGCCACGCATTGTGCCCAATGCGCTGCTCTTAATGCGGCCTCACTGTGCCCAATGCGCTGCTCTTAATGCGACCACGCATTGTGTCCCATGCGCTGCTCTTAATGCGACCTCACTGTGTGTAATGCGCTGCTCCTTGCGTCCTTGATTTTTAATTATTGCAGCTAAACTTATTGTCATCGGGAGGCATGATGACAATTAAGTTATTTGATTTACAACTATTTTTAGTAACACAAGTGCAAACTGTTAAATGACACGCAAAGGCAGGAAAGCGAGGCAATGTTTACAATCATGCTTGAATATCTATCTGAGGCAAAAAAGTGCTTTAGCGGCCGCATAAATATTAATTGTTACTTCATTGTTGATTGGTCATTGTTGCGGAAATAAAGTAAATCGATGTTTGAGAAAACGCCCATAGTAAAATGTAAGAATGAATTATCAATCCTGACCAGGCGAAATGCACTGCTTCTAATTCGATTACGCATTGTGCACAATGCGCTGCTCCTAATGCGGCCCCACTGTGCCTAATACGCTGCTCCTAATGCGATCACGCATTGTGCCCAATGCGCTGCTCCTAATGCGGCCTCACTGTGCCCAATGCGCTGCTCCTAATGCGGCCTCACTGCAATAATACTAATGCTCCTAATGCAGCCTAGCCTCACTGTGCGTAATGCGCTGCTCCTAATGCGTCATTAATTTTTAATTATTGCAGCTAAACCTATTGTCACCGGGAGGCACGATCACAATTAAGTTATTCTATTTACAACTATTTTTAGTAACACAACTGCAAACTGGTAAATGACACGCAAAAGCACGAATGCGAGGCAATGTTTACAACCATGCTTGAATATCTGTCTGAGGAAAAGAAATGTCTGAGCGCATAAATTTTAATTGTTACTATTTTGTTGATTGATCATTATTACGGAAATATATAGAAAATCGATGTTTTATAAAACGTCAATGGTAAAATGGATGGGTAAATTGTCAATCCTGACTGTGCGTAATACACTACTCCTGATGCGGCCTCACTGTGCCCAATGCACGGCTCCTAATGCGACCACGCATTGTGCCCAATGCGCTGCTCCTAATGCGGCCTCACTGTGCGTAATGCGCTGCTCGCAACGAGACTTTTAGGCTACCACCACTAATGACTAGAAGGGGCATTACTAGTCATCCTGACGTTGAGCGTGTTTTCCAGTAATACCGTATTGTACCTGCTGAACGTAGGCTCGAATCGTCGTTTTTTATGAACTGGCATGAATTGTGTGTAGTTCGAGATAGACCATTGTATTTGAAAAAATTGGATGATACTGATGCTGAATTAATGGAACATACAATGGTGATGGGGATTATATTGGATGGTGATGTGTAATGTGATGAACTTTATTGTATTATTGTATTAACACATACTTTAAAAAAATGTATATAGGGCCTATACCGTATATACAGATATATATATACCGGTACCGGTATCAGTCAATTGTTTATAGTGGGGCATTGTTTTTATATTTCGAATGTTACAAGGCTGTTGTTTGAAATGGGCACAAACAATTAGTGACAAAAATTATTATTATAGGACTGTCTGACTGTAGGCTGGTAGGAGAGCAAGTTAATCAAGATTTGGGCAAAAAATTTTTTTTATTACGGTACCTTTATTAAGTTATAATTTATAGAGCGTGGTCATTAGATCAAAAATATGTATAACACACCTATAATACAAGCAATAATACCGGTAGGTACCGTACCGTACGATAGTCTATAATAATACCACAACTTAAATATAAGGAATAACACATGGTCTCTAATTTTCATCTATTCATAGCCAATAAAAAGATGAATTTTTAAGCGTTTACTGAATGTTGCAAGTGAGTATTCTTTAACATTTGACGGCATTTTTTCTCAAATACTGAAATAAGGATGCTTTCTCTTTTAAGCGTTTTATTGGTAATGAAAATGAGCATCGAGGCATGAAATACTGAAATAGGCTAAGTCCTTTTTTGTAACACTCCTTGTGGCATGGCTATGGCATATGGATGGTTGGAATTCTAGTAAAAAATATGAAATATTGAATAGGATTTAATGTCACACAGATCTATTTATCTTGGGGGTTGGGGCTGGAGGGAGAAGAAATCCAATACTGCAATAAGAGGGCTTAATAATACCGTACCGGTACATATAATAAGCCTTACCACGGTCCCTCTTCTCCGGTTATCAGTTCATTTCGGGTATGGACTTCCAAATGTCCAAATGCACCAGCGGGTATGTCTGTATGTGAACTGCCCTATGGCTGTATGGCAGCGAGGCCTCCGGATTTGAACCTCTTAGAGTCAGGAGTGGGATTCTAGGACGAGCATAGCATAATAGGTACTGTAGTAAATGAATTAATGCACTTCAGCATTTCAGATAAAGTTGAGCAGAATCCATTTTACTCATCTCTCAGTCTTTATTAATAGTAGTAAAACTAGTATAAATTTACACTTCCAAAGTTACCCACTTCAACTTTTTCTTCTTTATTTCTGCCTCAGTTTGTGAATAGTTCAACATAAGCACTGTGTGTCTTGTTCCAAAGACCCTCAAAATAATGGCATCCCGGAAAATTTGGGATCCTGAAGAGCACGGATTAGCAAAAAAATTTCGATTGACTGATTATACTGGGTTGAAAGGGTGAGGATGTAAAGTCCCTCAGAAGACTCTGCTCAAACTTCTCGAGGGATTTACCAACGATCAGCCACAAAAAAGGGATGGTTTCCCAACAATTGGTATTGGACTTGATGCTTGCGTCATTCCACTGCGATTTGGTGGTTTATCATTACTACAAACAACAGACTTTTTCTATCCACTTGTGAATGATCCTTATATCATGGGCAAAATAGCTTGTGCAAACGTACTTAGTGACTTATATGCAATGGGTGTGCTAGAATGTGACAATATGTTAATGCTCTTAAGTGCAAGTCAAAAATTTACTGAGGAACAAAGAGATATTATTTTGCCACTCATGATGCAAGGCTTTCGGGATTTGGCAAAAGAAGCCGGTACTTCTGTAACAGGTGGTCAAACTGTAGTCAATCCATGGTGCCTTATCGGTGGAGTAGCAACCACGATTTGTCAACAAAACGAATTTATCATGCCTGATCAAGCAGTTCCCGGCGATGTACTGGTTTTAACGAAACCTCTTGGTACACAAATAGCGGTAAATGCATATCAATGGATGCTACAAAAAAATCAACACTATAATCGCATCAAATTCATTGTTACAAAAGAAGAAATTGAGAATGCTTATTGTATTTCAATGTTGCATATGTCTAGACTGAATAGGATTGCTGCGCAATTGATGCATGTTTTTGGCGCCCATGCTGCAACTGATGTAACAGGTTTCGGAATACTCGGACATGCAGATAATCTAGCAAAACAACAGCGAAATGAGGTAAATTTTGTTTTACATAATTTACCAATATTTGAAAAAATGGCCGCTGTTGCCAAGGCCAGCGTTATAAAATTTGGTTTATTAGAAGGAACGTCTGCAGAAACATCTGGAGGTTTATTAATTGCACTTCCACGCGAGCAAGCAGAAAAATATTGCAAAGAAATTTTCAAGCATGAGGGACTTCAAGCTTGGATTATAGGAATAGTTGAAAAGGGTGAGAGAAAAGCTCGGATTATTGATCGTCCAAGAGTTATTGAAGTTCCAAATGTTGAACCAGAACATGTACCTACACCAGTTGTTCTACCTATTCCCACCACAGTTACAGTTTCCCGAAAACGAAATTATGAATCCATTGCGCAACCAACCCCACCTCCACATATTGATGTTCAGCAACCACAACCACACCATCATCTTGTCCATACCCAACCACAACCTAATTATATTCCTGAACCATCAACTGACCATCAAAGGCATGTTTTACCTATGCACCCAGGTCTTGTTATGCACGGCAATGGTGTGCTGCATCATCCATTGGAAGCACAACCTCCACCCGTTGTCCCAAATCCTTATCATCACATGCACTTTCCTGGCCAACAATAATGTGTTGTCTATATTTGAATAATAAAGATTGGGCATAGTTCTATTTTCTATTTTTCAATCAGTTTCAAGCGCTTTCTCTGAATTACCTATTGCCTACTAAACCCATTGAAGTTTATAGGATCTCTACTGCCAATCAAAACTTACAACTGTGTTGTGTGTCCTGTGATAAGTATTATCTATAAAAACTTTGTCAAATGAATTTGTTTCATACATATCCAATAATTTCAAAAAAATGTTTTTAAAATTCCAAAGTCTAAATTTACTGGCATTTATCACCCAATTAAATTTGGTTATAGTTGTTTGACTTCTTACACAATGTTAAAACAGAAAAAGTTCAGATAGAAATGTATCATGAAGTAAAAGTATCATAATTGCTGAATATATAAATTTTACTTTGAACACCTTTTTTATAATCATACCAGATTTAGCCATGGTACTTTCACATGAACTCAATATTTATGCAGTGTTTACTCAAGTATGATCCGCGGCCAGAAATATCCAGATTAGTTTTTGTCATCATGGTCCTTCATGGATATTACATCTGTGGTTTATGATATTAAATACATGCTGATGTCATACTTTTTGACGATTTGGTAATGAAAGATTGGTAATGCTATATTTTCCTACTCCTATATTTTTGAAAAAGTATGATCTAGCACTTTTTCCAACGTTTTGAGTGTTCCTAATTCTTAAGTGCATCAACATCAACATTAGGCTGATAATAATAACTCGAAAACATATTTAAAAATCTTTCAAAACCATAAATGCTTTTCATTCACTGATATTATCATTTTCGGAATATTGACTTTTAAGACTGTTTCACAAACACTGATAATTAGTCTGTATATCAATGCACTATTCCAGCCACTAACAAACTTCAAATATTAACGCGTTGTCAATAGAACCTATTCGAGGTGTGACCACAGACCACACATACTATGTTTGTTTCTGTGTGTTCATTGCAAACCACTGTTCATTTTTTATGTAATCTGGGCAGCATTTTGCTGTGTTTGATATCATGATTATTTTATGTAACTTTATATGAACTGTCAAAGTATGAATCATGTACTAATCTGTCTATTAATGTGGTGAGTAAGAACTCTACATGTCCAATGCTATATAGTCTTCTTTTTGTCGGTGAAATGATCTTAGCTAAAATTTTTTGTCCGATAAATCTTCCTAGAACCTTCATAGAAATATAGAACCTTCATAGAAATATAACAACACAAGTATATTTTTTATGCCAATTGCCAATGAATAGTTTTTGATGCAGAACATATAGGATACTTGGATGATTGAATCCACTAACATGAGTTTACTAGAAGTTTTGTTCTGCTCTCCCATTCTGATTTAAAAAAAAAATTGCTGTGAAGTTTTGTCATTTTGTAATTTGGCTTTTGATGGTAGTAAAATTTGATGGGGTTCACTCTACTTTAGTTATCTACAATTAATTATTATAATTTTCCTTATCTTATATACCAGATAATTGATGAGTGTATAATTTGAGAGAAGGGCATTTGTTGACCTTGCATAAATTCACAATATTTATAATCACAGTCAATATCAGATACTTGTTATACATGTCCTGTCTGAGTAGTGTATTGGAAATAATGTGGAAGAAATAATGTATGATATGTGATTTTTTTCATATTTTTTTATTTACCAATCTTGTATGTGTTTATGGAATCAAATGATTTTAATTTCATTACAATCTATTCGTAATATGTTTGCGAACAAATTTAATGTAGGTTGTCGGTATTTTGGTTATAGGGCACGAATATACAATACAAGAGCATTTCTATGTTGGTGTTACAGCCCAGTTGTGTGTGGCCCTCCACCCACCTATAAGGAAAACTTCAATAATCTATATACCCAGCTTTGTAAGTTCACGTCACTATGTGGTCGAGTTTTATAAAATTCAAAGACTGCAATTTCAAATATTTTTTTACCGATGCCATTTTTGTAGAATCACTTTGTCAAAATTTGTTTCCATTACAATTAAATGATTTAAAATAATATTATTGATTGAAGTTGAATAATCAAATCTTCTGGCTTGCTGTAGATTTATTTATCTCCTTGCAGGGCTTTTTGTTGAAAATATTTCCCGAGCAACATTCGTGAAAGACTTTGAATTTGCCTTATTGTTACACTTTGTACTTTTCATTTTTGTGCCATCAAACTAATTCGGGTTTGAGCAGACCTTGATTGATGTTTGATCACAAGTTTGCATTGGATAATTTGCAGCTCTATGATGCTTGCTACTGAAACAATTTCATATTGATGTAGATAGCGGAGAATATCGCTGCAAATTATTTTGCATGGTCATTTTATGGATGTCATTGTGTTTTAATTTGAAGCTGAATATGATTACCTGGTTGAACATAGACTTTCTGTTATATTGCAATTTACCAGCAGGTCAGTCGACACCTCAATATGCCAGGGCAGCATGATAAAAAGCACGCTCGAATCATAATCCGTTTACATTGTGTATGAGTGCAGAGTGCCTTTTCTCGTCGAGGGCATGTACGGTGAATGTTTTAGTCTTGTACGGTAAATGTTTATGTCTACGCTATGCGCGAGAGACGAAGCAACGCAATATGCCGCCCTTTATCTATACTTCTGCTGCATTTCACGAACGCTGACATAATGAAATGATATATGCACTAGTATATACAAAATCGACATAAGGGTTAGGGCGTTGCTGTGTAGGTGGTTTTGCATACCGTCTAATTTAAATAGACAGTTTTAAAATTATAACGTAAATCTTGCTGGTACCCTTGGCCAAGCTACTATCATATCAATCAATCATTTATTTTGGTTCGCCGTCATAAACAATACAAAAAGTAAACAGACAAAACAAAATGCAGAGATACCTTGGAGACGGGCATAAATTTAAAAAAGTTAAAAAGCTAGCTAGCTTTGTCAAGGAAGTCGTTCGTTACCCTAATGCCGAGGACATCTTCCGTAGAATTTGAGTATATCTGTATATGAATGATCTATTAGTTGAATTTTCATCTAGAACTTTCAGTTGAGTGTGCGCTTTAAACTTCATACCAATGAATGCTGCTAGTCATTTTTCCAAAGATAATACGTGTACATTTTAACTATAACAACTAAGAATATGCAGATCGGTAAGGCATCTGGAATTAAAGAAAAGTATGGTTCATTATTGTCAAGCCATTGGATCTTCCGCCTACTATATCTGAGCAGTGACTTACAACATTAAGAAGATGGAAATCTAGTACAGTCTGTGACAAAGAAAATCTTGAAGAATTATTTCTGGTCGGTTGCAAGATTATCTCTGCAATTTCCGCAATTAACTGATCGCCAACAAGTCGCAATTTGAAAGCCAAGACGGCCCGAGGCCCTTATATTATTGTCGTTTAGAAGTCTGTCGTTAGCTCACGACTCACTATCTAAATGACAGCATAGATCATTACCGGCGTGGTAAAACTGACCAACTATCTGTTTCACTATTAGCGGCGCAAGTGATTCATCAGAGCTGTGTCATTCATATGATGTATTTGGTTGCAGACATACAAGTCACTAATTGCTCCTATTATATTCCAGGACAAACTAACATTACCCGTGTATTGAGTCACAACTCTTTCTCGTGAAGAGGGAGTTCTGTATTATGTAGAAACTCCAGATTACAGCATCAGAAAGCAATCGATTTATTTACAAAGATTCGAGAAGGAGAATAATGAAGCGAATCACTCTCAATCTCGGGATTAGTATTCGGATGTTGCATTGTGGTTATAAATTAATGAAAACTAAAGATGTCATGAGTTGTTCAAATTGGCAAAATGAAGCAAGGTATAGTCATCAAGTAAACTGAGTCACTCACTAATGCAACATACCGCTGTTCGTATTCAACCGGATGAGCTAGTTATTCATTATCAGTTAAAGACCAGACTGAGACCGAATTGAGTCAAATATTAGATTTTAATATAAAAACATTTGTCGGGACTTATTCACGAATTTCGAATTAACTAATTGAAGGTTGCAGATGGTTCAATTTTGAAATATTTTGCTTTGGAAGTACGCTTTTCATTCTATCGCCGTTTGATATCCGACTTTCTAAGAAAGTTTAAGATTTGGACTTTTTCTTCATTAGATTCATAATACATATTAGTACTAAAGCAATTCAAACAAATCATAATGGTGAAACATAGTCCTTACCCAGATCTTGTTATTCCGGAAGTTCCCGTTCATGAATACATTTTGAAACAGATTGCGGCTTATGGTGACGACATCGCTCTGGTAAGATCACATATTTTTTAACTTTGACATTTTAGACGCCGATAGATCTAGTCTCTAGAGCAGTGCTCCGCAACCTTTTTTAACTTGCGGTACACTTATAAAACTTGTCAAATTTGACGGCACACCACAACAAACGAAAAATACAAGGTGTAACTTTGTTTTATGTTCATATAACAATGAGAGATTTGTGGTTCTTTTAATGAGCACAATCGCTCTAAATTAGGATCATTGCGTGACGCGCAATCAATTTTGCAACACGATAACTAGCTTCTAATGCTTTTTCGGAGACTGTAAAAGACGACTTCACAGAGCACTCTTGCTTCTTATTTTGACTTAACAACCGCTGGAAATAATTTATATGCTTGCGTGCATGAACGGCATGTTTCATATTTAAGTGGCGCATAAGTTTATTCGGAAACATTGCTTCATTTGAAAGTTGGTGTTAGAAATTTGGATTGGTGTCGCTCAAGCTAACGTGAAAGCAGGTTAACCGCGGCACACCGGTTGCGGAGCACTGGTCTAGAGCGTGCAACTATTTATTTAAAATTATAGTGACCGTGAGTGCCTGACTATAAAAAAAAATATGAGTTCTTAGCAACTCAAAATTGAACTTGCAAGTGCTCATCTGTGAGCTGATTCCTGAATTTTGTCTCGCACAGTGTCGTTTTTTAATGAATTGCTCACAGCACTTTGTGTAATGCCTAACGATAGATCATTTTATGCATGATCAGTGGTGTAACAATATGTCAAAAGATTTTTCTGGGTATTTTATGACGAAATAACACCAAATGCGATTTTTTTATTACTCTCTGAAAGCGTAGCGGGCCACAGATAATGAAGCCACCCTGGCCTATACATATAGCTCGTGTAGAAATATGCAAATATTTTCCGTGGTAGGCTCGTTTATGATCAACAATTGCTCGTAATTTTGTTCGACTTCGATATTTTCCGAGAGTTCGTCCTTTCGGGGAGCCACTGATCAACCTATCTGTTTCAATAAATATTTCTTCTCCAGAGACACTATCCGATGAATATTGTAACTAGCATAGTGTTTTATTCAATAGTGTCGATTGCTTTGACAATCCCATCTTGATTTTGTTGAATAATGAGGTAACTTCCTTATTTTACCTTTACAATCCCTACACGGAACCAACAAAAAATATCACATTATTAAATCCTTGTCACGCGAGTGACGTATATGTATCATGGTATATACTCACAAATCTCGGTGCATGCAGATATTTTTTTTTCATTCGAGTATTCGTATACACATGAGAGCCAGTAGACCATAAATATTTATATTATATATATATTATATGAGAATAATTTATTAGAACCCGAAATCAAATTATCTTCTAACTAAACAAATATATATATTTGGAGATGCTATTGCCAAACAAACCCAACAGTTAACCTGCGGTGTGCGTTCTTCTATGGACAAAAGTTCAAATTTAAACCCTCATTTTTAGACATGTCCCAATATTGAGAGCTTTTTTTTCAAATAGACGATGATCTTTCCCGTGGAACTATTTTCATGACTAATATTATATATGTAATAGATTGACAACACCAAGGGAGAAACTTTAACTTTTAACCAAGTGAGCGAGCACGTTCGAAAACTAGCAAGTGCACTAAACAAACTTGGAATCAAAAAAGGAGATATTGTGGCAATATGTTCATCCAATTGCATTGAATATATTGTTGTCATGCTCGCTGTTTCAGCGTGCGGTGGAATAACAACAACTTGCAACCCATTATATTCAGAAAGTAAGCTTATTTGGAGTTTGATCAATTTCGTATCAGTGATACGAAATGTTTACGTTATCAGTTCCGCTTAATTTCAGCCGAAATACTTCAGCAACTCAAGCTCTCAAATCCAAACGCAGCATTTTGTGATCTAGACGTCTACAAACGCCTAAAAAGTGTAAAGAAATATCTTTCAACGCTCAAGGTAACCCACTTCGTTTTTTGGTTTTAATCGTTCATAGGTAGCATAACATTAGAACATCATGGCGGTGACCGTACATTTGAACCCATGTTCAAATATCCATGTATATCCGCGTATGTATATCCGCGGGTGCTAAAACCCATGGGTTAGGGTTAGTATGGGTACAAATATCCGTAAAACAAGAAAAATTCCATAGGTGCAATAGTATGCATGTGCAATTGTCGTGGGTTCAAATGTACGTGGGTTCAAATGTGATGGGACCCATCATGGCAAGTACATACGAAACTGGTCAGAAACGAGAAGCTGTTTGGGCAAGCCTTCTGACGTTTCGGGACTATCACTGCGCGACGTGTACCGCTTGCAACGGACTAGTAGACCGTTTGGTTCACTGTCTTATCAACCGGAACATCGAAATATCCTGATCGGGGACGCATGTTCCAGGGCAATATTCGTGTAACGTAAAGTTTGGATTCTAAGAACATAGCGGTTCACCAGGTAGAATCCGACAACGGGAGCTAACCGTATAAGTAACGAGAAACCATGATTTAATGGCATAGGCGCGACTTTCCCCTTATCCTCTAGTAAAGTTAGTAGGCTACTATACCAAACAGTACTTTTGTCATTACTGTTTTAGTGCTGTCATGTGAATAATTTTTTTACAATTCAGAACGTGTTCACATTCGAAGAAACACCAGAAATCACTTCGTACGCCAAGCTAGTGAGAACCGACGACGGACAAGGTAGGCTACGTGAACAATAGTAGTAACAGTCTCAGCTTCTTTAAAAAATTAACCTAATACATTTGAGAATATTGTAGGCCTATTATGTGGTTATTACCAGTGGCGTAGCCAGGGGGGTTTTGCGGGTCGACTCCCCCCCTCCCACCTTTTGAAATTAAAAAAAAAATAAACAGAGATTGCCATATTCCGTAGATTAAAATGCTTTTTAGACCCACACGACTTATGAAAACACGCGTATTCCAGCGTTAGATCGGACCCGCTAGCTGTTTCGATCTAACTTGGCAAATAAAAATTTCAGAACCCTAAGTTAAGTTGAATGTCAATGTGCCGAAAAAAGTGGTCTTTGGCCCGAATTATATTGCCCCCCCAAAAAGGTTTGATTGTGGTTTTAATTGAATTGCTCCACAGGAAGCGATTTGATTGTGGTTTCACATTATTTTTAAAACTTCGTCGAACATTCGTATTGCCAGTTACCGCAATCGTAATTGATAATTTTTTTTTTCTTCGGATATCTGATTATTGATTGATATTGTTACAGGCTATCCTTTCGTTCAGTTTGACCCGAGAAATGATGTATTTCTCCTTCCTTACTCAAGCGGAACGACGGGACTACCGAAGGGTGTCGTCGTGTCACATTATTATACAATGGCTCAAACAGTGATCAATTCGTAAGTTATAAAAAGTCTCGGTATTTTTCCCATTATGTTATGTTTATGCAGGTTGGCACCAATGCAACACGAACGTTAATACCAACTATTGTCAAATACGGCACGGCCGGCAACTCTATCGGAGAAAAACTGGTGGTTTGAATGGCATGATTAGATTTGGACCATACGAAATATTTATTAATGAGGTCAATTTTATAAATGAATAGATCATTTTTGTAAAGTTGTTGAGAGTCATATGAAAGTGCTCACATAATATGTATAATGCAGTATCTATATACTGTTATTCTGTATATATATATATTTTAAATTTGTCATTTCAGTGTATCATTTTATCAATCGCGAAGTTCTTGTCAATATATCGTGATTCCTATGTTTCACGTATTCGGCTATTCTATGGCATTACACACGATTTCTCGGGGATCGAAACTTGTCGTAGATAAAAGATTTCATCTTGAAACAATGTTGGAAGCTGTTCAACGACACCAGGTTAGTTTTTAGAATAATTATTATAGCCGTTCATCCAATCATTTTATAGGCAGTTACTGAGTTTCCATGAATGCTGATGGAAATAAGCTATTCGTCATTCAGTTACATTACTTCTAATGTATACTTCATTACAGGTTACTCACGTATGTACCGTGCCACCAATTATGATTGCACTTGCTTCAACACATCTACATACCAAATACAACACCTCATCTTTAAAAAGAATGCTTACTGGGGCTGCTCCTTGTGCCCCGTCTCTTATTAGAACTGTACAAGATAAATATAATTTATTGATAACTCCAGGTATGATTAACAATATATATATATTCAACTAGTTTTTGATGAAGTGAGTAAATTATTTATATTATCACTAACTGAAATCAATTGTGGTTTCCAGGTTATGGTATGACTGAGATGGTGCCTATTACGTTAGCAGATCCATTAGTCTCTAGATCGGATTCGGTTGGAACAATCGTGCCAAACACCGAAATTATGGTAAAATTATTCAAATCATTTTGCAGTTTGCCCACATTTTCTCACTCTTAGTGTGAACGAATAGGTCAATTTAGCTCAATTGACGAAATATAGTATGTGCATAGTGAAAACATATATAATAGTGTTCGATTACACTAATGTGTACTTTTTTGCGTAAACGAAATTTTGCTGGATTCCGGTAAGAGGCAATAATACCCATAAAAATACTAAGGTGTAGGCTACTAGGCGATATTTTTCACTTTTCGTGTTTTGAATTTCAGGTAATTGATCCAGAAACGGGAAAGGAGCTCAACGCTGGGGAAGACGGAGAGATTTTGGCCAGAGGACCCCAAGTAATTGAATGTTTACTGAAGTTTAAAAAAATCACATTGGTCTTATATCGTAGATAAAATATAGATAGAATCAGTTATTCATTTTTGTGCTTTAATTAATAAATCAGTCACATATCGATCACTTGAATATGTACAAAATATGTTGGGAGTTAACTAAAAATATAAGAAATCATAAATATTCTTGTTCCTATTTAGATGATGAGCGGGTACTTGGGAAATACCCAGGCGACTAAACGTACTATAAATGCGGATGGATGGATACATACAGGTGATCTTGGGCATTATGATGAAGACGGCATGCTGTACGTTGTTGATCGTTTGAAAGAATTAATAAAATATAAAGGATTCCAGGTATATTATCAGAATTGTCTTTATTATAATGTTTTATTTTCATAGTCTAAATTGTGATTTTTTTTAATTAATTTCTTACAATAATTCAATCTCATAGGTGGCACCAGCTGAATTGGAATCAGTGTTACTGACCCATCCTGATATTAAAGATGCTGCTGTAATAGGTATTCCAGATGTATTAGCTGGAGAACTCCCAAAGGCATTTGTCGTCAGAAAAAGCCCGTCGTTGACCGAAGAGGCTGTTATAAAATTTGTTGAGCGTAAGATTTCATTCTGACATTGGTTAAAAACTAAACGAAATAGGACGTGCTTTATAAAATTTGTAAAAAATATAATAATATTTACGAAAACTATTTAAATAATATCTACGAATACTATTTAACTGTTTGTTTTGAGTCGGTGTAAACTCTGGGAACGCAGACTCAACACTTGCTATTCGAAATTCAGTTGTTTAAATGACTAAGATTTATTAAATAATTTGATGAGAAAGGCTGCGAGACCATTGTACGAAAGATTTAGTTTCTTCATATTGTTGATATAATATACAAAACACCATATCACTTTGTCAAAAAAAAGAATGTTTTCACACAAACCCCATGTACCTCCGTTCAACGTTCATTTCCCAATTTTAGTAGACATCATTATCATGAACCTACAACAATGTTTAATTTTCTTGGATCACGTGGAGGCACACAATTTTTAATGATACAAATAATTCCATAGTTTTCAAATAAAAAAAAATCGACTTCTATTTCTAATCTATAATTTATATTGCTAATACTTCAGGAGATTTGGTTCACTACAAGCGACTGAGAGGTGGGGTGCAATTTGTCGAGACGATACCGCAGTCAGCAAGTGGAAAGATACTTCGAAGGGAACTAAGAAAAATGTCTATTGGAAAGTCACATTTGTAATCAATCGCAGTAGCCGACGATTTTCTCGAGAGTTATATTGTCTCCAATGAAAATACCTCGTCCCTCCACCCTTAGCCTAAAGTTATCTAGGAATTCGAACACTATGTATTCACTACTGTTTATGGCGAACCATATCGTAATCCGTCTGTACTCACTTATATAATTAGTTTATGGCCTTTGCGCTATTGTGAAACCTAAGTCACGAAGAACACTTATGCTCGCAAATATGATAAAATTGTACACTTTCCCCGACATTTTGGTTGCAATTTTGCCTAATATAACAGTATTTTCTCTCCTTCCTGTTTGGCATACAGCGCCTGTTAAAAATGATTTACATGCATTGTATATTTTATTGATGTACAGTAAATTGTTAATTCGCAACAAGGCGCAGTTTTGCCAATCGTTTTTCATGTCTAAAATACGTTCAGAATAAAAATTCAACAAAATGCACCTGTATAGACACTCTGTATAATACTTTTTAATAAAACAGAATTTAGAAGAATAGAACTTGAGTTGAATCGAATTGGCTTTAGCATATACCTCCGATTGACATTTTTATGTCGTCATCAATATATGCACAAGGTGCAGACAAAGTTTATAATAAATTTGTTTACATCGTATTTTAATTGTCTTTTAAACTACACGGCTTTAAAATATATCGCTGGTTGTTATTGCAGTTAAATTGAAAATCTATGTTTATACCTGAAATACAATCGAATACGATCATACATTTGTTGGTGTTTTTATTAGGCTTACCATACGTCCCGCTTTAGGCGGAACAGTCACGCTTTTTAGCGTCTTGTCCCGACAAGTCAGCCAAACGTCCCGCTTTGGCATTCAGCCATCCAGCATAATACACGAACATTACCAATGTACCAACATATTCTTGTTACTGTTGTTGCTGTGCAGCGCAGATCGAGCCCACTTACTGGAGGTGAATGTGTTATTTTGTTTGTTTCGTTGTTTCCCGTAACGTATCACATGTGAAATCAATACTAATCGGTCCTGTTCTGACGTTTACGTGAAAATAACATTGAAAAGCAGAAAAGCATGCTCTGGCAAATAAGTAAATTCTCAATGCTTAAAAACGACAGGCTATTTCATTATTTGTTCTTCCTTTTGCTGTACATAAAAAATCTAATTCGAATTATTTGTATCGTTGACGTCAATCCCTTTTTATTTTTCGAACTGAACCCGATATTTATACAGAGAATATGCGCATGAACTCTCGATCGCAATATATATATATGGTCAACGAAGACAGCCGGGATGGATTTAGATGAGGCCTATGTAGTAAAATCGGAACATGTAAAGTTACAAAATCACAGCTAGGGGGTCGTTGTCTTTGGAGGCGTCCCCCTTCGAAGTCACAAAAAATATGGTAACCCTAGTTATTATACTAGTTTCTGAACCAATCAGAATTTAGATTTCAATTAAATTATAATTACAATTATCTGTTAAACATTTTGCCGGTTCTTGTGTGGCTGCGTTTGATATCCTCTTATGGTCGACTATTTGGGAATGCTTTAATTGTAGCAAAAATACGAAAAAAATAATTAATGAGGAGGCGCAGTTCTTACCACTTCATGGCAGCTCCTTCACAGCCTACATGCCTTGGTTTGTGGCAGCAAAATTTCGCCCGTCATGATTTTCAATTTGCTACCGTGGAACCCCGCCTCACGCCATTGGTTTGTGGCAGCCAAAAAATCAGCCGCAATGGTTTAGCGGCAGCTTCAGACGCCACTAAATACTCAAAACTTTAATGAGGGTAAAATGCAAAAATTAGGTGATAATTACAAACTTTATTTTGATCGCGACTCAATGTTTGATACGGGAGTAAATTGCACTACTCAAAATAAAAGTAGAAATAATTAAAGAGTTCGATATATACAAGAAAATGCTGGATGTTTATTGAAGGAAAAATGTCAATTCGTGGGAGATTTTTCGTCTTGAAAAATGAGCTTCTTTTGCAATAACCATTGTTTGTTCGATTTAAACCCACATTGACTCAAGGAATAAGAAAATGCATGTGATAATTTTATTGTTTGTGACTACTTATAGCGAGCGTGTTGTATATTTCATACTTGAGAAAATAGAGAAGAACATTTCTCCAGGATTCATGCTAAGCCGCTTCCTGACGATTCGTGTAACAAAGCCTTGACGAAGACATTTTCTAATTAAGTTGATTGTTATCCGTTTCGTTTGTTTGAATAAGAAAGCAAGTCAATAAAGCCTGCATGTCGAATGACCTCATTGCAAACATCGTTTGTTCGGCTCAATCAATAACCAGCTTTCGCTCAGTAACCGAACTTATAATTAATGCCCAATAGTGGCTTGATATCTGCACATTTTGGACATGGATACTTCAGCAGTACAATCTTGGGAAAAGTTTGAATTAAAGAAGACGATTGGTATATGGAGCGCGGTCGCCTTATTAGCTGGGACAATGGTTGGATCAGGAATCTTTGTTTCACCATCTGGTCTATTGCAAGGAGTAAACGGAAACGTTGGGATAAGTTTAGTGCTGTGGGCGTCCTGTGGGTTGTTGGCTCTTTTAGCGGCCCTATGCTATGCTGAATTAGGAACAAGGATATCGGAATCTGGTGCAGATTTTGCGTATCATGGAATTACGTATGGGAAACCTATGGGATTCATATACGCATGGACGTCAATAATTATTGTTCGATCTACTGGGAGTGCCGCGATGGCTATAACATTCGGTATATATTTAGCTAAACCTTTCTATCCAGGCGACTGTGTTCCGCCTGATATTGTAGTTAAATTTGCCGGAACAATATTGCTGTTGTTACTGACATTGATAAATTGCTGGAGTGTCAAGGCATCTACTAAATTCCAAAACTTTTTCACCGCCGCTAAATTTTTTGCGATGATTATCATTATTATCGGGGGCTTGGTTCAGCTTGGGAAGGGAAATCCTATTGGAAAGGCCAACTTTGATCAAGCATTTGATACAGAAAGCATGACCACAATTACTTTCACACAGATTGGCCTGGCATTTTATCAAGGACTTTTTTCCTATGATGGTTGGAATAATTTGAACTACGTAACGGAAGAAGTAAAAGAAAGCCACAAAACGCTCCCACGCGCGATTTTAATAGCAGTGCCTCTCGTGACAGGATTCTACGTGTTAATGAACGTTGCTTATTTATCAGGTAAGTCAATCACTACCAATGTCAAATTAGAAACGCAACATATTATTGTAAACATACGGTGACAATATCACTTCTTTTTGAATTATGAACTTTCATCAACTGATCGTTTTTATTGCAGTTTTAACTCCCAACGAAATGATCACTTCGCCCGCTGTGGCTATTTCATTTGGTGATCGTGTTCTCGGGTCATTCTCGTGGATCATACCGGTGACTGTGTGCTTGTCAACTGCTGGATCATTAAACGGATCGTATTTAAGTGGAGGAAGAATGCCGTTTGTGACAGCCCGCGCGGGGCAGTGGCCTTCTGTAAGAAATAATATATATTTATATATATACATTCAAATATGTTTGCTTGGGATCTATTTTTACAGTAGATATATATATATAAAATGTTTTGCGTAGATGCGTATCCAAAACATAAATACAAGAAACAGGCAAATTTGTGTGGACGTCTCAGGTTTAACGACTGATCGTTAATATATTAAAAAGTATTTGTTGCTGAAGTACTTTCACTATTTGCTATCCCCACTAAAATTGTACAGATAATGTGACGATACTTTCGTCTACATTGAACTAGATATTAAACTGATTCAAATCCCTCTCTCTGTATGTTAGTTTATGTCAACTTGTGACTACATGTCAAGCAGATTTTGACGAAAACAATCCATGACATATAAGTGAAAGCTGGATGTAGCCTACTCACTATTCACCAAGTGGAGGCTGATGTAATTCAGCATCCGCATCATATTTCTTTGTTCATACACTATTTCTCTAATCACGTGGTGTCAATTTGCTTTACCAACTCTTAAACGATGTACCGTATATCGATATGCTTATTTGATATAAGATCCATGTATTTACCAAGCAAATTTGTACGCGCTCCTTGAAATTTCGATTCGTTATTGCCGCATGCTAATCGTCATCAGAAACTGGCGTAAAGCTGAGTTTGCAAAACCAAACGAAGGACAGACGTGAAGAAAACAGTCACGCTTACCTAAAGAAAACAGTTGTCCCATGATTTAAAATTAAACAGTGGAATTCCGGATCCCAAAAAGACTCAAGAGTCGAACGGAAACAACATTAAGGCCAACAAAAATTTACCAAAACGATCCATGTAGTCACTTCGTGTCCAATAACATTACCAGTTATTTCAGTTTTATCTCAATCCCATTCTATTTCACAGCTACAACAAAAATGCTGGTTGATCTTCCCTCGAGAACAGGCATTCTATATTTTCTAATATTTCAGATATTCGAAATGGTCCACGTTGAATATTACACGCCAACGCCTTCTATTCTACTCAACTCCGCTATCACACTCATCTTTATGATTCCAAGTGACTTCGATACGATGCTATATGCATTCAGTTTTACAGCTTGGACATTTTATGGTCTCAGCGCTGCGGCCGTTATAGTGCTTCGATTTACTAGGAAAGATTTACCGATGCCTTACAAGGTACGAAGCCTGCATATCTCTATATTTTAACTTACCCGTGCAGGTTGATCTATCACTAAAGATCAAACTGGAACTATTGTTTCATCATCAGCAATAGAATAAGAAAAAAACCTTAGTAGCAGATAACATTATATTGTTACCGCAAAAATTCCGCGGGTTAATACTGAATTTATTGTAAGCTTTATAATATTTTTTCTAATTTGCAGGTGCCGATTGTCATTCCTATCATTGTAACCTTGTCTGCCTTGTATCTGGTGATAGCACCAATTGTCGACTCACCAAATTGGATCTACTTATATGCAGTGATATTTATAATATCTGGATTGATACCATACTTTGCACTGATCCACAAAGGCTACAAAATTCCAGGGATTGACACCGTGACAATGTATGGCCAACTTATATTCAATGCTGCACCGACGGATTGGGAAGACATTTTTTGAGTTATGCAGGACAAGATTCATGGAGTTCAGTGTTGATATTGCACAGTCCAAGACAATAATTGGATCGTTACCCATATTTTTGATATAGTTGTTAATATCATATAGTTGTTAATATCGCAATGGAATGGGACACGTCGTAAAATTAAGGTGACGCTGAGTGCCGCTCGATATTGTCGTATAATGCTTCGACAAATCATGACAACTACATCTTTATTGTGTGAAACAACGAGGTACTTCAGATAACACCCATTGTCGAATTTTCGTTTTTCATAATCAACCTCTCTTTTTTGCTGATAGACGTTTTAACTTTTAACTCAAAATTTTTGATATTTTACTCAAAACATAGCGCCAATAAAGAAATAGCCTATTAGAATATTGAATATTCTCCAACGAAATTTCGTCCCAATGTGACTCAACACAAAGTAAAAACGATGATAACGCCATTACAAAAAATCATTTAAAAATAATAGAATGCGAAATCTTTAACGTTAATATATTTCACGGACCGTACCATTGCTCGCATATTGCACACCTCTGTACCAAAACAGCAGGAGCTGGGATAGTATCAATAATAGCATAAAAGCGTGCACCGACGTGTAGCCTATCTCTTTTCTAGGAAATGGGAAGGAGCGCCTAACAATACATAGGGTGTCGCATACACAAACTATTTTGCATGAAAGATATTACCGGTATCTGCCCTCGTCCTGAATATTTGATGCATTTGCGTTTCGTCAGGAAAGATCCGTATTCCGTGCTAAAAAAACTGCCAATTGTGACAATAGACTACTTTATAGCCATTAATTTAGATAGATCTACATGTGTCTACAAGAACTACGGTTGTCTCTGCTCGATAACATTCATTAATTACCTATGACCTCCTTTCCTGAGTTGAATTGTGTAGCCCACTGTTAGTCACGAAAAATAGGTTAGCCTATATAGTGTATTTGTGAGATTTAGTTTAGTTATTTTCAGAAGTTTCAGTTCAGTTATTTTAGAATTTTCGGGCAGCAGATGTCAATATATTATACCTGCAAACTAGAGATATTGGATTGTGCAAATGTACGATTTTGTTCTCGTTTATTTATCAATTTAATACCATCTCGATCGAGTATCATTCAGAAATTGAAAACACAATAACCTAGTACCCCAAACTTTTTGATGCTCATTTTGATAGTGTTTTCGCTAGTTGACAAACGAATTTGCATCTTCGGCGGTGTGGCGCGTTGTGCTATGCGTTAGGAATACTCTTGTCATCTCACCTCTGGTTACACTGCGTGGGTTCGCGTCTATTCTTCATAACAATCATTTGAATTCATACTATTTCGCCACCCGTCATTCAAGAGTACCGAAAGCTAATTTCAGCATGATTCATCGCAACTTCTTGGGATTATTTTTTTCACAATAACTACCGTAAACTAAAACTCCTTGGAAGACGAAATGTCTATTGAGTCATTTGGTTTATGCCAATGAGCATATACACAATGAGTGGAAACTTCCAAATATTTGCTCATCAATCCATTGTGCCCTGCATTTTTTACGTCGTCCAGCTAAATGGTTCGTTGCATATGGAGAAAGCATATCGCTCGCTGCAAAAATCCCTTGCTCCGGCCGCGCCGGTTGCGAAATTGGCCGTATTGACGCTTTTAATTTTTCGATTCGTGTTCGGTTTTGGGTTTCGAAGTATGGTACGTTGAAAGCATAATAACTATAAGCATATGCTTATTGGGAATGCATATCTATTAGCTATAGCACAGAATATGAAGTCAAGTGCGGTTATTTCTGATTATAGCATGGGATTTAGCATTTTGGTACATATTTATCCACGGGAAAGGAAAGGGATAAGAAGTCCTAAATATATGGCGAACCACAGCTTCTCGCAATCATAGTTTATAAGACGCTCCATACGAAGCCCCAGGGCTCTCCGATTTCAAATCACTCTGGCAGTCTGGGATATCTTGACAATAAAAACGAAGACAAAAATTAGAAGAATAGCAGGGAATCGGCTTATCGGCTTTCCTCTCCACATGAGTAAATATGTTAACCCCATCCTATATCAATGAATACAAAGCCCCACGTCCCCCTTTACATGGGTCGTAACGAGTGGTGGGATTTAAATTTTTTGTCAGCTGGTTCAATCACAAAAGTCATAGTTTTCAGCCGGTTCTGTTACATGTTTTTTTTAGTAATGCTGACCGATTCGCTGATCCCATTAAATTCCGTGAGACGGTTGTATAGAACGGGCTAAATCCCACCACTGGTCTTACCCACCCCCCTTTGGTTTGAGAAAAAAATTTCATGCAAAACTTCTTCCACCGTCGTTTTACGGTCGCGCATTATGGTTTCATCAAAACGATATTATTCTGCGTATTATCACCGCAGCGCGATTAACACCGCCATACTTTTTTATCTTTACGATATGTTATTTTTTTGTTGGCGTTGATATTGACAAATAAGAATGCGTGATTGTTGATTGTTATTCAGTAACGCGTATGTAACCGCCGTTATGGCCGTTCGAAATGAAAGAAGGGTTATGAGCTAATTTCAGGACATTCTCTTCCCGATTTCTTTTATTTTAATACAAAGCAGGGCGATAAATTTACAACGAGTTACGTAAAATTTACCGACGGCTATCGCCAACAGACAGAAACGATGAATGTGAGAATTTTTTATATTGTGTCATTTTTGCGCCATCATATTTTTCAATTTCTAATTTTGCGTAAATCGCGTCAACATCGTTTTTGTAAATTTAGAAACGTTGAATCAGATAAGCAAGGCATGTGAATAATGTATTCTATGCAAATTTCCCGAGATATTGCGGAGAAATAATATTTTGACCACGTAGAAATGCCATTATTGCTGATTTATTCACGTGTTAAGTATCAGTGTTTTAAACCAAAGCTGAGTTACGTGAATACTCAACACTGAGTATTCTAGAGATTACCAATTTGCGGAGTTTTTTAATTATTATTTAATATGAAAGTAACACGGAAACGATATAAATTTAAAACATAAAAATGTCAACTATCAGCTTCACAAATATCGCATCCCGGAGTCAGTAATGATAATATTGTTTGCTCAAAATTGGGACCGTAACTGTGATACTAATCCAACACAGAAGATAAAAATCAGAATAAAATTAATTTTTGTTGTGAATACATTCCTTAATAGTTGTCTTTAACATCTTCGCCGATGTTCGTTAAAATATTCGAATAATTTTAGATAAAAAAAATACGGTTTGCCCACCACTAATCACGCCGCATGTATATAATCAATAAATGACAATAAAAAATCAACTTTGTTAGCATTAAATTCCAAGTAAAATTTCCACATTTCATGATTCGATCGGCGCTACACGCGAGCGTGTTTTTGTATATATTCACCAAACACCGTCAAGAAAACAGAGGCGAGCTACACGTGACTGTGGAATTTCGCTGTGAACGACGCATTGTTTTTAATTTATTACACGCCTCACGCAGTCGTGAATTGCACTTTTGGCGCACTGTTTTAATTTCACCGTATGCCCCCCACCCCGTTGGAAAAATCCTGGCTGCGACCCTTGTTCAAATTCTATATCTCACTATTGATTACAAAAGTATAATTGCATCCAAATCAACAGTATCTATATATATATATATGACTATATGAAGGATCGTTAAAATTAAATAATATACATGCAAAAATCATAATTGATAACAAAATGTACTCTAAATAATAAAATAAAAAACGAACTTTTTTGTGTAAATTCACAAGACATGAAAATGGCAAATTTTAAATATCAATGGCAAGATATCCCAGAGTAATTTATAGTTAAAATCAGTATTTTTAATAAGTATACGAATAGCTCACAAAGTCCAGGCAGCCAGAGCTATTTGGAGAGGCCGTGGTTCGTCATTTGAAAGGCTTTCGGCTTTCCTCTCCCCCCGGATAAATATGTAAGTCCCATGTTATATCAATGAATAAATACAGCAATAACCGCACCCCACGTGGCGACTGATTCATATTCTGTTCTGTAGCTACGTTTTCTGCCTAATAGATATGTATTCCCAACATGCATATGCTTATAGTTAGTATGCTTTCAACGTACCATACTTCGAAACCCAAAACCGAACACGAATCGAAAAATTAAAAGACTCAATACGGCCAATTTCGCACTCGACCCAGCTGAAACAAGGGATTTTTGCAGCGAACGATGTGCTTTCTTCATATGCAACAAACCATTTAGCTGGACGACGTAAAAATTCAATTCAATAACTAGCACACCATTCTAATTTCATCACCATGCTTAAATAATCAGACAAAGAAACAAAATTTAAATTTAAATGTAGCAAACAATAGGGACAATGACCACTGTTAAAGTAGCATGCTGCTTTATTTAACTTCATTCCATTATTCTCGCCCAACACCAAATTAAACAATCTCAATCCTTTCTTTATTCTAGGATATCATATTATTCAATTATATTATTGTTTTTATTTTATTATCAGCACTAAATCGAACAATCCTAACCCTTTCTTCATCACAGGATACCATATTTTATTATTATTTTAATTCAATTTGGAAATTCCATGACATGGCAAAATGATATTCTTTATAATTTATTGTTCTCTATTTCAATATACATTTATACCTTTGAATTGTCTGGCTGAAATGCGATCATGATAGGTTTTATGGAAATGCAACCTGAATATCCTTTTTTTGAATCCTGATCTTTTTTAGCGGTATTCAGAACTATAAAATACAAAGTACCTTAAAAAAGCGTATAACTTGACAGAACTTATTACATTGCATTTCCCCAAGCCTGGAAGGAACGCATTTTTGCTAGATTAGCCATTTATTACTTAAGTCACTAACCCTTGAGTGGTACATACCATATATGCACATTCTCCTATAAAGTTGACTATTTCTCCCATTTATAGTATGTGGTATCATTATTCGAGGGTGCTATATGTCCAAATTTTATTCTTATGTATATATATTATGTATTATATTTCATGTTGTATTGTCTCTATTTATTGATGTTGTCTTGTCCTACCAACTCCTTTGTACGAACAGTTGGGCATACTCCACCGTTACCCATGTTGCCTAATCCACCCTCCTCGCACAACTGTCTGTATGAAGGACCATATTATACTTATTCGATTTATTGCCATTTATGCTTATCATAAGGGGTGTATGCCGCACGTTCATGTGTTTTAGGCCAGTATGGTCTTGTGTATACATCCCGTCTTCAATGCTGATATTTACTAACTCCTGTGTTTTTGCTTTTACGAGACGAATAAACATACATACATACATACATACAAAATGCAGGGCACAATGGATTAATGAGCAAATATTTGGAAGTTTCCACTCATTGTATATATGGCTTTATATGCTCATTGGTTTATGCCCATAATTTCGGAAACACAACATAAAACTAATATCAAATAGCTAGCAAAACCACAAAAAATGAGCCAATGTTCACCACCATGCCTGAAGATTAAGCTGACTGATATAATTCCAATTTGCAACTAGCGAAGTTGAATGATGTGCTTGGTAGTCTAAATTAGTATCTGGCTTTCTATCTTTTTGGTCGAGAATATATGCTAACAATATAGGCATCATAGAAAACTAGGAATCGAATGCGGATTCTATTAGCCAGAGCAGGCTATGTCTTATGACTATGTGTTTGCACAATAAAAAGTGTTTGTTTTGTATTGCACTGTTTACCTATTCTTGGCACTATTGTGGCCCGCGAACAATGAAAAAATAATTTTGTGGCCCGCGGAGCCGACAATGTTGGATTACCCTGATATTCTAGACCTTGGGTCAAAATATTTTTTCAAATTGGTTAATTTTAAATTTTGGTTTGGTACTAGTATGGTGGTATAGTCTAACTTAAAAAATGATATATTCTGTTTTACCTCAGTCTATTTGGCAGTGGTCTCTCTGCAATTAACTTTGTCCAACTAAATTTTGATGGAACTGAGTTGTGGTGCAAACGGCGTCGACCAGAAGGCGTCTCATAAATGTCTTCGGGTCTGAAATGGTTGCCGTAAACTCGCGTGCTTGGTGTAATCTGTTTTAATAAGTCAAAGTAAACTAGCTGATACGAACTAAATAAATAACACCAACTAAAGTGAAGCTAGGCTTCAAGGAATCAATGTATGCCCACCTAATAATAATATAGGTTATTAAGTTTAGCTTGATTCCCATAATCAGTACACCAGGAAGATACCGGTATTGACAAAATAAACACTTATTAGTCTACAGAATCAGATGAGCCCTAACTAAGATTTGAAAAGAGCAGAAGTTAAATTAATTTAATTAAGTGATTCAAGAGTCTTGCTGCACACTAGGACTCACTGCAAGACTCTTGAATCACTGTGGGATAGTTACCGGTATCTTTACTCTTGCTACAGCATCTTGCAATATATGCATACTGACACAAAAGCATGGAAGAAGAATAAGTAGTTAGTCTCGTAGAAACCAAATCATTAGTTAAATTAATTGTTGCTAAAACTGTAAAAGAAAGTCGTGGACTGTGCTCA